TCACACCGTGACCTCCTCCGTGAGTGTCGCGCGATCGGATAAACTGTACAGGATGAACGCCCTCGCTCTGTCGGGGTCGCGGACCTCTCTAAAGCGTCCTTGGTTCCGGCGCGGCGTGGAGTGGGCGGACCTCACCGACCTGTCCTCCAGGCTCAGGTCGCACTCCCCCGCGGGTCCCCCTCGCGCGCTCGTGTCGTCCAGGTTCTCCAGACTCCGACAGACCCTCTCGGACAGGTCTGCGGTCGCCTCACTCGACACACTTTTTCCAAGGAGGAACTCCGCACTGCGACAGCCCATCGCCTTCAGGTCCTTGGCCTCCGAGTCACTTTTGGTGTCCCCCTCGGACTTGGTTTCACAGGTACACAGGTTCTCGTGCGAGACACTTTGGCAGCGGCAAGAGGCGGTCTCGCTGGTGTCGTGGGGGGCGCTGTAGCTGGTGCGAGACAGCTCCTCCTCGTCCACGTCCTCCCGCCACCTCTGCTGCGCCAGGTCCTCCCCGCCCGCGCACGAGTGGTTGTTGCAGTGCTCCCCGTCGGCCGTGTTGCAGTCCTTCTTCGGCGGACCTCCCCCTCCCCCTCCTCCCTCCGCTCTCCGGTCCTCCTCCTCCTTCACGGGCGACACCTTGGTCGGCGACGGGATCTCGTCCTTGAAGGTGGCGCACACGATCTTGTCCGTCATGTTGGCCAGGATGTTGTTGACGTAGGGCTTCATGATGATGCCGTCGTTGCACTTCTTCTCCCTCCGGCTCTCCGCCCGCCGCTGCTCCCGCTCCACGTTGCTCTCCTTCTTCTCCGACACCACGACGGTGGTGACGGGCGGCGCCGACGGGGCCGACGTGAACGAGGCCGTGTTGGCCGCGTCCTGCATGGCCTTGATCTTGGCCGCCATGCCCCGGTTACCCGCGCGGAGGTTCCGCTCCTTCAGCGCCTCCAGCTGCATGTACACCTTCCGGAACTCCTCCTGTAGGGGATATTGGGCACTGGGTGAGTGATCGATTGGCAACAGGTATATTGCAAAATGAACACACACACACATGAACAAGCACACGCAAAAGTCCACACGTGCACCCCACCCGCTGCACACACATGCACCCCCTACAATATATATATATATACATCCTTACCAGCATGTCCCCCTCGACGTTCCCCGAGGACGACGTGGTGGTGAGCATGTTCTGGCTGTTCCCGGCGTTGGGTCGCTGCAGGAACTTGGCCACGTTGGGCTTCGTCATGGAGGATCCCTCGTCCTTGCCCTGTCCCTTTAGCACCAGGTAGGCCTATGGGGGGGGGGGGAAGAGGAGGTGAGTAGGGAGGTGGGAGGGGGAGGAGAAGTGAGGAGGGGGGGGAGGAAGTGAGGGATTGGGGAGGGCGTAGGAGGATAGGGATAGGGTGGGAGGGGTGGAGAGGGCGGGGAGAGGAGAGTTGGAGAAGGGCGAAAGTTGGGAAGGAGAGGTGAGGGGGGGAAGAAAGGGAGAAGAAGAGGATTAATTCGGTTATCCTAATTTCTCTTATCTAGCATTTGTATTATAGATTTTGTTACCCATTCTTATCCATACACAGTTGTCTACACATGAACACAGTAAAACACGGAGAATTATTATATGTGAATTGTCTATGAAAGTATACAACTGTCTTTGTATCTATCTCTGTGTCTCTGTGTGTCTGTTTGTCTCTCTGTCTTCTCTCTCTGTCCCTGTCTGTCTGTCTTTCTTTCTCTCTCTCTCTCTCTCACTCTCTTTCTTTCCCTCCCTCCCTTCCTCTTTCTCCCTCTTTCCTTCCCGCCCCCGTCCCTTCCTTCCCCCTTCCATCCCTCCTTCCTTCTTTCCCCCTCCCTCCCTTCCTTCCCTCTTTCTTCCTCCCTCTCACCCTCCCCCCTTCCTCCCACCCTCCTCCCTTCCTTCCCTCTTCTCCCTCCCTCCCTACCCCATCCCTCCCTTTCTCCCTCCCTCCCTATCCTCCCTTTCACCCTCCCTTCCCTCCCTCCATCCCTCCCTTTTGATCACAACATCTCCACTTTAATGGGTCTATCATCCTCCGTTTCGTAAGGTTCATCTTAATCCTTTCTCTCATACTCAGTGTCCGCCATTTACTTAAAAGTTTCATTCTCTATAGCTTTGTGTGGGGACGAGATTGATTTCCTCTCCTGTCAGCTTGCGTGAGGGTTAAAAAAAAGATTCGTGAGAGCAGTACACGCACTCTTATATTCTTTTTGATATAGATACTTTTTTTTGGAGAAATCCATCTTCGTTTTTCATGCATATGTTCTTTGTAAAGACAAGCAGTGCTTTGTAAATACATGCTTTGTGAAGATATGTATTAATTCATAAGTACATGTGCTCTTTACTAAGTAATCGCACTCCTTCGTAGGTAGACGCAATCCTTTGCAGAGACATGTACTCCTGAAAGACACGCAGTCCTTCACAAAGACACGCACTCCTTCGCATAAACATGCACTCTTCCTCAAAGACACACACTCCTTCGCAAAGACACACACTCCTTTACAAAGACACAACTTCCTTCGCAAAGACACGCACTCCTTCGCAAAGACACGCACTCCTTCGCAAAAACACGCACTCCTTTACAAAAACACACACTCCTCCCCAAAGACACACACTCGTCAATGACACAAACTCCTTCGCGAAGACACACACTCCTTTACAAAAGCACACACTCCTCCCCAAAGACACACACTCCTTCGCAAAGACACACACTCCTGACACACACTCCTCCCCAAAGACACATACTCCTTCGCAGGCACAAACATTCCTTCGTAACAACACACACTCCCTCATAACGCACGCAGTCTCCCTCACCACGCCATTCCCTCCTCACAAACTCACCAATCTCTGCTCTCTCTCTCTTCATCTCTAATGGTGTCTTCGCCCCTTTAATGGTTCCTTCCATTTGGATGAAACTTCCCTCTTCCTCTCTCTCTCTCTTTCTCACCTGCTCTCATCGAATGGTGGTAATGTTCTATCTTCCCTCTTCTCTCTCTCTCTCTCTCCATCTCTCTCAATTTACCAGCTTCAGTGCTTCTTTTATTGACCTGCCCCTCTTATTCTCTCTCTGTCGTTTTATTTAGGTTCTTTGGCACTTTCGCTTGTTTTATGGTCTTCCCCTCCTCCCTCCCTCACGCTATCCTCCTCCTCCTCTTTTTTCTTCCTTTTCTTCTTCCTCCTGCATTATGACCATCTCTACACCAATGCTACTACCACCTTCTCCTACTTTTTCCTCCTCTTCTTCTTTTGCTTCTCCGTCTCCTCCCCTTCTTACTCTTCCTGCTCCTCCTCCCCCTCCCCTTTTCCTCCACCCCTTCCTCCTACTCTCTTTCCTTCCACTACCACCACACCATCTCCTCCTCCTCCTCCTCCTCTCTCCCTTTCTCGCTCTTTTATGTTGCTTAATTTTGGGGGCTTTGATTTATGGCCCTGTAGTTTCGTTTTCTCTCCCGGAATTGTCTATTTTCTGTCCTCTGAAGCTCTTTGTCTGGGCTGTCTTTAGTGTCTATTTACGTTCTTGCTTTTTATTTCCGTCTTTTCTTACTTCTCTCTCTCTTTATGTGTGTGTGTGCATGTTTGTCTGTCTTACTCCTTCCTCTCAGTCTCTTGTTCGCTATCTGTTTAGCTCTCGATCTGTCTCTCTTTTTCCCTCTCACTCACTTTCTTCCTCCACTCCTCCGCTCCCTTCCTCCCTCCTTCCATCCTCAACTCTCTCTCTCTCCCTCCTTCCTCTCTCTCCTTCCCTCCTCTCTCTCCCTCCAACTCCCTACTCTCTCTTCCTTCTGTTCTCTATCCCTTTCTCCTTCCCTCCTCCACTCTCTCCCTCTCCCTCCTTCCTTCTCTTCTCCACTGAAACTCTCTCTCCACACAAACGTTGCCTCGAAGATGAGTTACTTTGAGGTTCCTTGTCGTGAAGTGTCTTTGAGTCGTGCGTCCTCCACCGGCCATCTCGGAATACTGAAGACGTCTCCACAGCCACTGCAAACCCGATTCGTCCGCCTCCTGTTCTGGGATTTTCTCTCTTTCTTTCTCTCTCTCTCTCTCTCTCTCTCTCTCTCTCTCTCTCTCTCTCTCTCTCTCTCTCTCTCTCTTCTTCTCTCTCTCTCTCTCTCTCTGTGTGTGACATTGACTCTCTGTTTCTGTCAATATTTGTCAATCTGTCTGTGTTTTTCTCTCACTTTCTCTCTTCGAATTCTTGGTAGCCGCCCCTCTCTCTCTCTCTCCATTATTCCTTTTATCATTATTACCATTGTATTGTATCATTATAATTTTCATTATAACTATAACATCAGTATCATTATCGTTATTCTAACTATTATCATGATCATCATTAACATCATTATCATACTTTTGGTTCTTATTAATGATGTTATCATTATTATAATTTCATTTTTATATATTTCATTCATTATCATCATCACAGCATTATTGTTATCCTTATTATCATTCTTATTATTGCAATTGCCAATGCTATTATTATCGTCATTACGTTATCATAAACATTAATAATAGTAAAGATGATAATAATGATACTGTTATTATTACTATTATTATCATAACCATAATTATTAGAATTACTATTATAGTTATTGCTGTTAACGTTATCATTATCTTCATTGTTATCCTTATCATTATTATCATTACTAACATTATTATCATTATCAACGTTGATATTATTATCGCTCTCATAATTATCATCATTTGTATCATTAGTATTATCATTGTTATTGCCTTTATCATTATCATATCATTATCATCATTATCAGTAATATTACTGATTTTATTATTGTTATATTTTTCCATTATATTTATCATTATTACTATCATCATTATTTCTACTACTATTACTTTTACTATTATTATTTCTATCATCATTGTCTTGGTACCGTGTCAGATAATTCAGTAATAGTGTGTTTTTCGTTATATATATATATATATATATATATATATATATATATATATATATATATATATATATATATATATATATATATTTATATATATATATATATATATATATATATATATATATATATATTTATTTATTTATTTATTTATCTATTTATTTATTCAGGCGTAAATTTTGTCTCGCTATTTTTCGTTCTACCACAGACTTAGGAAAAGCTAAACGAGACTGATCATCCCCTTTAATAATTCGTTCAACCATTGTTACGATTTTATTACCTTTTTATTTTTTATCATTATTTTAGAAATTATCAGTGTAATTTTGCTGGTTTTGTATACCACTCTATTTCCTTCTCATCTCGTTCTCTGTCCTTTAATGTCACTATTATGTTACAAAAAGCAATTACATTTACACATTATATCGAAATTCGCCAGTGTGCATTACCCATTTCAGTTATTTATATTTTGTGATTTGTTTATAATGATCCTTTTCTTATCATATATAAGAGTCGTTGCTTTAATAATTATCGGTGTCACTATGATTATATCATTATTATCACACACACACACACACACACACACACACACACACACACACACACACACACACACACACACACACACACACACACACACACACACACACATATATATATATATATATATATATATATATATATATATATATATATATATATATATATATATATATATATATATATATATATATATATATATATATATATATATATATATATATATATATATATATATATATATATATATATATATATATATATATATATATATATATATATATATATATATATATATATGTGTGTGTGTGTGTGTGTGTGTGTGTGTGTGTGTGTGTGTGTGTGTGTGTGTGTATTTTTCTGTCGTTATTAAATTCATTCGAAGGATTAGTGAATTAGTTTTTGAAATGGATTTTATAAGCGTTTTTGTTGTATTCAGTTAATGCTGGGATTATCGTTGCATAATTGCTCGATAACTGTTGAAATTACTATAATATTAATCGGAAGTTGTTTCGTCTTTTCCACCCCTTTTCTCTTCCTTTTTTGTCTATCAGCCTGTCTGTTTGTCTGTCTGTATGTCCGTCTGTCTGTCTTTCTGTCTATCTGCGTGTTCGTCTGCTTGCCTGCCTGTCTGTCTGTCTCTCACTTTCTATCTCCCCTCTCTTTGTCTTTAACCCTCTCTATCTGTTTTTATTCCCTACATCTTTTTTTCTCTTTCCTCCCTACTTTACCCAACCCTTCTTTTTCATCTCTTCCTCTTTTCCTCCTTCACTTCTTACCTCTCCAACTCCTCTCTCTCATTGTCTTTTTTTTTTCCTTCCCTCTTTCATTTTTCCTTCACTTCGGACCTCCAACTCCACTCTATCCCTCTCCTTCCTTCCTTCTCTCCATCCTCCCTCTCTTTCCCTCTCCTCCTTCCCTTCCTTCCCTCCTTCCCTACTTTCCCCAACCCCTCTCTTTCCCTCTCCTTCCTATCCTTCCCTCTCTTTCCCTCCCTCCCTACTTCCCCAACCCCTCTCTTTCCCTCTCCTCTCTTCCTCTCCTTCCCTTCCTCCCTTCTTTCCTCCAACCCCTCTCCGTCTCTCTCCATCCTTCCTCCTACCCCTCCTTCCATCCCTCCTTCAGGGCTCTCACAAATGTAGATCAAGAATTTCCTAGACTTTAGCTGAAATATCCCTAGATACAAAATTATTCTTATTCAAAAGAAAATCATATTTCTTATGAAATTATAAAGCAAAATTTGTGGTACTTTACTCAAGAGATTTATTTTCCATCTTCATACAGTTATATATTCTAATCTTTGGGAAAATTGAAACCCAGTATGTTGAAAAAAATTGATCTTCAGTAAAAAATTGCATATACTAATGAATTAGTTCACACAATAAATCTGCCAATAAATTGCAATATGTGAGGAACTATACAGTAGGCGACACTTCGATGTATATAATGTTTAATACAAAATTTTGTGCATACCATGTTTTCCCCACAAGAATGCACTATTATACAAATGTATAAAATACTTTTTGATTGCTGTACTATCTACTACAAAAATATTAAGTACATCAAAAACGGTTCCTAGGTAGCATTTCCACTTACTTCATAAGAAAGTAAGTTTGAAGCGATTCCGTCCCTCCCTCATTCATTTTAGTTCATTGAAGACACATACAAATTCTAGGCATAAATCCCCAAATCATCACTAAGCATGACCAGAATTCCCCAGAAAATCCCCAGAAAATCCCCAGAAAGCTCCATTCCCCAGATTTATCCCCAAATGCCCTAAAAAATCCCAATCTGGTGACAAAATCCCCAGAAGTGGGAGCGCTGCCCTCCTTCCTTCCTTCCCTTTCCCTCTCCATCTCCTCCTCTCTCTCTTACCTTGCTACCGAAGATGAGGGCGATGAGAATAGTGATAGTCAACTGCGTATGGCAGAAGAAAATGATGAATAACAGGTCTGGGTTGGCTGGCGATTGCAGGAAGAGCCTGAGAGAGTTGACAGTTGATGGGTGAGACAGTTGACAGTCGACAGTTGAAATCATCAGTTGACATTTGACAGCCGACAGTTGCCAGTTGCGAATTGAGTTGACAGTTGACAGTTGAGATCATCAGTTGATGAATTGTAGCCGAGTTGACAGTTGACAGTCGACAGTTGAAATCATCAGTTGACAGCCAGAAATCCAGTCGACAGTTGGGATGAATAATTGGCAGAAGAGAGAGAAAGAAAAAAGAAAATTAGATATAAGCCAATGATGAGCAAAAATACAACATTCAAATACCTGTCACAGTATAGACTTTTGTATATTTGGCTGATCAGTATTCCATTACTAATAAAGATAACATCAGCAATATGTATTGTTCGAATGATAGTGAAACAATACCACTACTACTAATGCAACTACATTTATTAGTACTACAACTGCCTACTACTACTACTACTACTGTTACTACTACTACTACTACTATTACTACTACTACTGTTGCTACTACTACTACTATTACTACTACTAATACAACCACTACTGTTACTGCTACTACTACAACCACTACTGCTACAAGTACAACTGCTACTACTGCTACTACTACAACCTACTTACCTGCTACTACTACTACTACTACTACTACTACTACTGCTACAATACTACTACTATACTACTAACAACACCTACAACTACTGCCTACAGTACCAACAGTACCAACAATAACAACTACCACAACAATCCCTACCACAACCCCTACCACAACACTCACATGGACACGTTGAGGAAGAGTGAGAGGAGAAACTCGTTGTAAATGGCGATTGAGATGAATTTTGACTCGTTGAATTCGGATGGGGCTTTCCTCACCATGATGCACAGTCGGATTCCCCAGACTAAGAACATTATCTCCACTGCGGAAAGAAGGGGTCGTGGGTTAGTTCGTTGTGGGGTTGGGGGTGGGTTGTGGGGTTTGGTGGGTGGGTTGGGGGTTGGTGGGTGGGTTGTGGGGTTGTGGGTGGTTTGTGGGGTTGGTGGGGGGTGGGGTTGGGGGGTGGTTGTGGGTTGGTGGGTGGGGTTGTGGGGTTGAGTGGGTGGGTTGTGGGTTTGGGTGGGTGGTGGTTGGTGGGTGGGTTGTGGGGTTGGTGGTGGGTTGTGGGTTGGGTGGGGGTTGGTGGGGTTGGTGGTGGGTTGGTGGGGTTGGTGGGTGGTTGTGGGGTTGGTGGGTTGGGGGTTGTGGTGGTTGTGGGTTGGTGGGTGGGTTGTGGGGTTTGGTGGGTGGGTGTGGGGTTGGTGGGTGGGTTGTGTGGGGTGGTGTGGTGGGTTGTGGGGTTGTGGGGTGGGTTGTGGGGTTGTGGGGTTTGGTGGTGGTGGTGCGTGGGTTGTGGGGTTGGTGGGTGGGTTTGGGGTTGGTGGTGGGTTGGGGTTGGTGGGTGGGTTGCGTGGGTTGGGGTTGGGTGGGTGGTGGGTGGTGGTGGTGGGTTGTTGGGTTTTGGTGGGTGGGTTTGGGTTGGTGGGTGGTGTGGTTGGTGGGGGGATGGGGTGGTTGTGGGTTGTGGGGTTGGTGTGGGTGGGTTGTGGGGTTGGTGCGTGGGTTGTGGGGTTGGTGGGTGGGTTGTGGGGTTGGTGGTGGTTGTGGGGTTGGTGGGTTGGGTTTGTGGGGTTTGGGGTGGTGTGGGGTTGTGGTGGGTGGCGTTGGGTTGTGGGGGGTGGGTGGGTTGGTTGTGGGGTTGGTTGGTGGGTTGTGGGGTTGGTGCGTGGGTTGTGGGTTGGTGGGTGGTGTGGGGGGTTGGTGGGGGTTGTGGGGGTTGGTGGGTGGGGTTGTGGGGTTGGTGGTGGGTTGTGGGGTTGGTGGTGGGTTGTGGGGTGGGGTTGGGTTGTGTGGGTTGGTGGTGGTTGTGGGGTTGGTGCGTGGGTTGGTGGGTTGGTGGGTGGGTTGGGGTTGGTGGTTGGGTTGTGGGTTGGTGGGGGTTGTGGGGTTGTGGGTGGGTTGTGGGGGTTTGGTGCGTGGGTTGTGGGTTGGTGTTTGTGGTTGTGGGGGTTGGGGGTTGGTGTGTGGGTTGTGGGTTGGTGGGTGTTTGGGGTTGGTGGTGGTTGTGGGTTTGGTGGGGGTTGTGGGGTTGGTTGGGTTGTGGGTTGTGGGGTTGGTGGTGGGTTTGGGTTGGGGTTGGGTTGGGTGTGGCGTTGTGGGGGTTGGTGGTGGGTTGTGGGTTGGTGGGGGTTGGTGTGGGGTTGGTGGGGGTTGTGGGGTCTTGGGGTTGGTTAGTTGTGGGGTTTGTGGGTGGGTTGGAGTGTGGGGGGTTGGTGGGGTGGGTGTTTGGTTGTGGGGGTTGGGTTACAGTGGGGGGGGTTGTGGTGGGTGGGTGTTGGTGTGTGAAGGTTTGGGGTGGGGGGATGTGGGTCGTTAAAGTTCGGTGTGAAGTTGTGGTTGTGGGTCGAAAGGCTGGCTGGTTGTTGGTTGGTTGTTGGATGTGGCTGGGTGTGGTTGGAAGGGGTAGGTGTGTATTGGTTATTTGTTATTGGTTGTAGGTTGGTGGATGTGGGTTGTTGGTTATAGTCAATGGGTTGTGATTCTAGGGTATGTTATAGGATAAGTATCATGCCGTGTATATCATTGATTATAGGTTCAGTGTTCTATGTTATAGGGAGTAATTAGAAGTTATGATAACATAATCATAGGTTATAATTCATAATCTATAGGTCGTTGGTTATAGCTCATAGGTTAAAGGCCTTGGACTATCAATCAAAGGTTATAGAGAGATGCAATAGTTTTAATTCATAATTACATCACAGGCCGTAGGTCAAAGATGATTTATTAGAGGTAGGTCAAAGATTATAGTTCATAGGTTGCAAATTGTAGGTTATAGATCACAGGTCACACCACGTACTGTGTACCGTGAGTGCATAACGTGTGAATTACACGTTTTGAACTGTGTCTGTTTCCGTGCGAGTTTGTGTATGCATGTGTTGAAGTGTGCGTATTCTCCTGCGTTGAAATTCAATGCAGTTTCCAAAATATACTATGACAGTTCACAGAATTATAGGATATGAAAATGAAAGAATCTATTTTGCATAGTTATTCACGAGCGGTACATGCATGTGTAGCGGTAAAACGTATTGCGTGCATACCACTAACATACTTTTTTTTTTTTTTTTTTTTTTTTTTTTTTTTTTTAATCGGGTGAAACCGTATTCATGTTGACAAATGTAGAAAAAGGTCTGTGTGAGAATTAACATCACAATACAAGAACTATATTTAACCGGTTTCGAATGCATATTCGTCAGAAATATTAGAAAAACCATATTGGCACACACACAACACACACACACACACACACACACACACACACACACACACCACACACACACACACACACACATAGACATACACATATATATATATATATATCCATCTCGTATTGTGAAGATACTCGTTCTCCTCATACCTTTTTCTACATGTATTTATTTTGGATATTATATATGAGACACATTTGCAACAGCTCGTGGGAAATGCAATATCCTTGCATCATTCCAACGCATATAAACCTTCCACATAATATCTGCTGGCATAATGTCTATATTTCCTTGTGAATCAGTTCGCGAAGACAATAAACACACACGCACACACACACAATAACACACACACACACACACACACACACACACACACACACACACACACACACAACACACACACACACACACACACACACACACACACACACACACACACACACACATATATATTATATATATATATATATATATAATAATATATATATATATATATATATATATATATATATATATATATATATATATATATATATATATATATATATATATATAATCAAGGCGTAAAACAGGCTTAACAACAGGAAATTCTTTAAAGCCTCAAAGATCATATTTGCTTTCCGGAGTATTTAAGTTGGTTCACAAATCATTCCACGAAGCACAGATGCAGTTAAGACATAAACAGGCATATAAATCAGGAGATTCTTTTAAACCTCTATATCAACACGTGTAGAGTCAACCTATAATAATGATATAAAACTTTTATAGGCCAGATACTCCCAGCAGACTGGCAATTTTCGCGAAAAAAATCTGTCTGTCTGTCTCTCTCCCTCTCTCTCTCTATCTCTGTATATATATATATATATATATATATATATATATATATATATATATATATATATATACTACACACACACACACACACACAACACACACACACACACACACACACACACACACACACACACACACACACACACACACACACACAGATATATATATATATATATATATATATATATATAATATATATATATATATATATATATATAGGAGAGAGAGAGAGAGAGAGAGAGAGAGAGAGAGAGAGAGAGAGAGAGAGAGAGAGAGAGAAGAGAGAGAGAGAGAGAGAGAGAGAGAGAGAGAGAGAGAGAGAGAGAGAGAGAGGAGAGAGAGAGAGAGAGAGAGAGAGAGAGAGAGAGAGGAGAGAGAGAAAGAAAGAGGGAGATGGAGAGGGAGAGGAGAGAAGGAGAAGAGAAGAGGAAGATAGAAGATAGAAGATAGATAGACACGACACACACACACAGACACACACACACAACTGTAGCCACAGAGAGAGAGAGAGCCACAGAGAGAGAGAGAGCCACAGAGACACGCAATAACCGCCGAAACAAGATACTGTGATCGGATTCGAGTCTTGTCGGGGATCCCTGTGGCCTCAGATCTTACAACATTCACGTCATCTAGTCACCAAAGGAAGATTTATGTAGATTGTATGAATGGAGTGTATTCGTGCCTCAGAAACAAATAAGCATCGGCGAAAGGAATACAGGAGACTGTGTGGATAAGGAAATAATGTGTATTTTCCAAGATTAAGGCTCAATAATTGAATCGAATCTAAACATTCCTGGCATAGAACAAGATCCGCTGGCTTGGTGTTTGATTCTACTTTATTCCATATCAAAAAGGGTAGTTGGTCACCCGTCTGTTTCCCCTAAGTGAACTCCTAATCCAATATTACTTGACCTTACTGCGTTTGACCTCGCATAATGGAAGCGAGCCTTAGATGACCAAAGCTTTCGGATCGGGGACGCGCTAGATCTGCAGCCAGTGTTGCCATTCTAGCGATTTTCCGGCTAAATCTAGCGTCTTGGAGTTATGATCTATCGGGAAAATGTTGAAAGTTTGCTCTGTACTTAGCATTTTTAATTCCCTTTTAGCAGGAAAACGGGAAGCTTTTGCTCTTACGTGTAGCGGTTTTCAAAGTACACTCTAGCGCTTTTATGGAAATATCAATGGCAACACTGACAACAGCTGAGACGGTGAGAAATATTGCGCAGTTTTAGTCCTCGATTCTGTGCTATTTCTCAAATAATTTTTTGGCTGTTACATGAAATAGCGGAGATAGAAATTATTGGCGTAAGTAGGCATTTAATAAGAATTATTACACTGAATATGTTAACATAAAATGCAAGTATATGAATGTCTATTGAAAATAAATGCATTGAATCAGCCAAAAACATACATTATTAGACATACATGTTGAATTAATACAAAAAAGTGAAACATTAAGCAGCATTAAGTAAGTTAGTTAGAAAGGTCATGTTTAAAAATAATTCGTAGTGTTTTAATTTTCCAAATCATATAAAAACAATCGTTTAGAATTTATATGATGCTTGTTATATCCCGTGAATCTTTTATCTGCACCATACGCACACACACACTATATACATTCAACATTATAGTCTCTTTCCATTCTCGCTGACACAGGATGTTAACTAATTTGATCCAATTTTTATTTCCGTCTCTATAAGTTCTCGTCGCGTGATTTCGCCTCTTAAATACTTCCTGCAACTTATTTTGTCTCTGAGGCCATAAACTTCCTCCGCGAATATGACAG